GCGCGAAACAGATTCGCAGTTTTGCGCGTTGTCTTGCCTAGTTATGTACGCGCGCGCGAGCATCCAACTATGCACGGAGTTCCATTTCTCGTACACCATCCACACCATGAGAGTAGTGCAGTTGTTGCAGAATATGCACGCGCGCAGGCTGGATAAATTCACTCGTCGTGGATCTGCCGTCGAAGTTCTCTCCGCGTGTATCCAGAGGCGATATGGCTCGCAGCCAAGCTGAACTGCAGCAGTACCAGCAAGAACAGCCGGAATTAATTCGCGATCGCTTCGGAGCTCGGATCGTGAGTGAGAGAGCAAGAGCAGCTGCAGCTGCTCCGAGTCGAAACCTGCCCTTCTCTGTATATATATATGTGCGCGCGTTATATGTATAACACGAGATCTAAGAATAAGAACAAGACGAAACGCGTGAGAACTGCGAGCAATCGTTCGCTGCTGCTGCTGCTGCTGCTGCTGCTGCTGCTCTCGAGACTCACGCCGAGATCGTTAAAAAGTTTATATGGAAGAAGAAGAAGAAGCTCTCCTGCTTTAGCCACTGTCGCGCAGAGGCAATATTACTTTAATTACATCGTATAATGTCAGTGTGCGTGCGTGTTTAGTCGATTATTGTCATTTTAACACGACTGTTATTATCGAGCTCGGAACGCGTATAAATTGCCAGCGATAATTCATATCAGGTGTAGGCTTCGGAGCGAAATGAAAGGAAGGATCGGTAACTTTTTTCAGTGTGTAATACTCTGTACTCTCGTTGAGCTACTCTGAGATCGAGTAATCCAAAGTAAAGCGACGGTCTATCTCTCCTGTATAAGAGGATGCGAGAAAAGATTATCCTGTTCACATTATAGAGCGCACAAGGAGTTATATGTACCGAGTTTCGCATATATAATATCTTCTTGAGAGATCAGCACGAAATCTTGCAAAGTCGAGGAGAGCTTAATAAGCCAAAGCTGTACCGGCGAAATCACAAGTAGTGCATCGAGGGTTCGTTTGTATACGCGTTATATACATATAATTCACATGTGTGCGCGCGATTGAAGTATCAAAGAGCATTTATATAGCCACGGTTTATTAGAGCGTACGTCCGAGACAGCTCTCTCTCTCTCTTGCAACGCGATCGATGCGTTCGACAAAATTGCATAATACCAGAGGCTATACACAAGCGAGAGGCAGAGAGAGAGAGAGAGAGAGAGAGAGAGAGAGAGAGTAAGAGCACTCTCAAAAAGAAATTATCTGCGCAGCTGCATCTTTCTTTCTTTCTCTCGACTCTCTCTCTCTCTCTCTCTCTCTCACGACGATCGCGCAGCCGACGTGCAGCCGGCAAATTTGTGCCTCGAACTTTTTATACACAGTGTATACGTGCACGCACGAGAGACGGAAGTTTATCATTTCTCGAGGAACGCACTTCTATCGTTGGCATTTCTCGTCTCTCGTGTATTTGCATATAACAACAACTGTATGCAAGAAACAGAAAATATACCTAGGAGCTATAAGTGAAGATCATTTTTTTCTCTTTACATTTGCGCTTGATTTTTTCAAACTCGTTCGCCTTGGAGCGTTAATAACGATCGTCTGCCGGCACACACGCGTGTTTCCGACGCGCGAGAAATATCGTACATCGAGATACGATGTTGTGTGTTTTAATATATATATAATATACAGGCAGGTGAAGCCGATCGGCTCTCGTGTGTTTGTTTTTATGCACGCTCACACGGACGGATGGACGGACCGAGCGAGAGTTCACATAATGGTTGTTCCCGGGTCCGCTAATGGATAGTGCGCTGCACAGCCCTTCTTCGCTGATTGCTATTTCATGCGGTGCGCGCGGACGAGGATATAACAAAACAATATATATCCGAGGCCACAAACGACCCGAGCGATTTGGCTTGCGATCATCTCGATTCTATGCGGGGCAAAAAAGTTCACGCTCTCTCAAATATTTGCACGTGTATACGCGCCGTTGTGAGAGATCGAAACTTATCGAAATTCGATTCGTGTGTATACACGCGTACTATAGCTTCGGACGGTCTTGAATCTCTCTCTCACTCAATCTACGAATTTCATTTCTCACCGCGCGATGATGATATCACATTTTGTATATATGCGCTGCGGAGAGCTTTATGTATGCGCAAACTGCGCTACTCCTTCACCTTGGCTCCACCGACTCCTCCTCCTCCTCCTAAATGTTATATCATCTTTCGTGTGTGCGTATACTCCCTTTTATGTAAATTCGTGCGGTTCGTTGCGCGGGAACGTAAACTATACGGAGAGAAGAGGAGGCCGAGCCATTTGCTCCGATCTATCTCTCTCTCTCTCTCTCGTCGAGTTCTATACGTTTATGGTGTATATATAATACAAATCGGCCAGACGCGGGCAAAGTCTGCGGACGTCAATTGTTTGTTTAAATTTCTAACTTCCAGACTCGCGCTAGAATTTCATCCCGAATGTTTACGTTTTAACCGCCGCAGTGCTATGCGCGCGAAACACGTTACATTACGTACGTATATGCCGGAGAGATGAGAAATTCCGCGGGTTTGGTTGATACATAAGAATCACGGCGCGCGCGTCTGGTTAATGGTTATCGTTATTTTTTCAACAACTCGCTAGTTTATAAACGCATAGTTTCCTATGCATACAGTTTGCAACGAATTAGTCTCTTGCCCGAGCCATTGAAAATCTCGCATCACACAGATCGCACGCGCTCGAGTGAACGTTACTTTTTTTCTCACAGAAGCTTCGCAAGTGCATCGTATCACTGACGGCGGCTGCACCTTCTTCTTCTTCGTCGTCGTCGTCTTTCTCAGACTCCGCGCGAGTCTATAAATAAAACTCCTCGATACACGCGCGATGGTGCCGGTGCCGCCGTGTGTTATGTGTGTCTATATGCCACACCGGAAGCGGCACCAAAGACAGCACGCATGCACACACGAGACACTACACTGTAAGCAGCTCATAGAGCAGAGACGAGAGAGATAAAATGGGAACGCATTTGTAATATTGCAGAGAGCGAGAGAGACTCCGAACCTGAGTCACTCTTTATATAGGATAACCTTGGCTTACTATACGTTGTGCTTCGTGTCCGCGATCCTAATCTTCGCGCGTATGCAGTGCGACGAGCCGGTTTCTCACCTGTTGTTCTCCTGTTTATAAACAACTTCGAAAAAAAAACTCCTCAGCCTGTCTTACACGTGCATGTAATGCACTTTTCAGATTTTACATCGTCATTTTACCGCGCGCAGAGTCCATAGGTATAATTATATCTACCGAATCACGTTGCTGTTTTATTATAATCGATTCATCTACGACGCCCAAGACCGCTGTACACACTTTTTATTGCACACACCACACGACTTATCTCGTGATCGCGATAACGCTCTTTCTTCTGTTTTTTTTTTCGTCGTAGCTCGACGTTAAACAGGTGTTTTTACACTTAAGTAGCAGCGAAGCAGCGACAAAAAAAATATGCTCCGTACGCGTCGTCGTTGTTTGGCCTGGTTCCGAGCCATGTGTACGTACACGCTTTGTTCGCGCGCGGCATCGAGCAATTAAAAAATTGCACAGTATGCATTCGCTCGCGCACTCGCCATTCCCTCGTCCATATGTCACGACGATATTGCTTTATAATCCTGTATATATATGTGCATAAGAGCGATACCGATCGCAAATTGCGAGTGCGTAATAAGTGCATTATACGCCATGCAATGTGTCTCGGCATTCATAATATAAAGTACGAGCGTACGCACGTGCGGCGCGCACGAGAAACTTGAGATATTGCGCACTCCATATTATAATACGTAATGCAAGTGCCTTTAATAATATCGCTGCTGTCGTGGGCTGTGAAGAATCGATATGCACAACTTAAAAATATCGTTTCGGATATTATCGCTCTGGGGCGCTACTAGCAGTAGTAGCAGCAGTAGACCGGATATTTTTTGAAAAGACAATAACGACCTCGCCTGACATTTACACGATTTTCCGCTCGAATGTTAATTTTAGGATGACCGAGATGTGAAAATACGTGCATCGTTTATTTTTCGAAATAGCGATTCTTATCTCCTTGGAACAACTACCGAAAGATTGGATTTTATTGAGCAACATCGAAAGCAATGATAAAGAGATTATCCCCTAAAAGATCGCGGCGCACCATCTGTTTTTCATTCATGAGCTTGCGCGCGTCGTATTACAAACACACACGATTGAAAACATTTATATTCACACTCGCGCGGGCGCGCTATCTCTCGTATTTCACCGCGATGTGTACGTACCCTTCAAAAAAAAAAAAAAAAAAAAAGAAACGAAACTGCAACAAGTTCGATCGTCGATTAGTTTGAGAAATAGATAAAATTTCGGAATTCTACGAAGTGAAAATTATGTTACCCTTGGCGCGCCCAAGAGAAACACGCACCGGATTGTGTGTTTATATTTTTACTTCCAAAAGAGTCTCTGGAAGCTCGAGTTATTTGGTAAATTTTTTCCCAAAGTCAACGTCGTATTGCCATACCATTGTCTGAACAGCGCAAACAAAAACTCGGAAGCGCTCGCGCGACTTTGCGCAAAAGAGTATTATCTTTTTGTAGTCTCAATGAACTCTTTTACCTGTAGGGCAAGCAGATGTTCGCTTTATTGTTCTATATCTACCTATACTTAAAGTTTACGTTTTATCATGCACTGCCTGATTTCAGTCTCGAGTTCAATAAAAATATATTAATAGAAAAACTCGTATTTTAGATTAGATACTCGTGTAATTGAATTGTTACACATCATAACTGATTGATGTAGTCGTTGTTTTAACATGGTAACTTAGTACGAGCACGTGGCTATTTTAAGAAAGAAAAATAAACACACACGCGCTCGAGTTGTATCTTCTGATTTCTCGAATAACCATAATCTTCCCCCGCGAGTCCATTATTATTTTCAAAGTACTATAAACCCGCACGAACGTGCTCACATACACAAACTTGAACCTTCATGAACTTCGTGCATTTACGTTACAGAACTACGCCATCGGACCAGGCTCGATACCCGAGAACACGGCCGAGCTCGAGATCTCGAATCTCTACGACTTCAAGATACGAGCCAACGCGTTCGTCAACAGCGCCAAGCTCACCCGCGTCCACCTCGCCGACATCAAATCTCTGCACATCGAGAAGCAGGCCTTTCACAATCTGAGCTCGGTGGACGCTCGACTGCAGCTCAGCGGCTGCAAGGAGTGCGATCTGACCATCGACAGTCAGGCGTTCAAGAACGCCCGAAGTCCGCTGACGATCGACATAGAGAGATACAGACTGGTGGACATCAAGCCCAACGCCTTCTCCTGGTTGAAAGAGATCGGCGTGAGGGACGTGCAGAATCTGCGCCTGTCCAGCAACGCGTTCAAATTCGAGGCTGCCCAGCTCGCCGAGGATGGACCAACGACCAAGGTAATTGATTTATACATTTAATAATTGCCACTCGAAATCTTTACTTTTCGCAATTTAACCAAATTCCCTCTCGTCCCTCGCGCAGATTATGTTCCAAGGCATCTCGAACATCCAAGAGCTACCCACCGCGGTGTTCCCTTCGACTCTGGCAGAGATCCGCATGGACAACGTGAGGATATCTTACTCGATTCGCAAGGACGCCTTCTGCGCCATGAACATCATGAAGGTGACCGTGAGCAACTCGTCGATCTACGAGATCGAGTCGGGGGCCTTCAGCGACCGAACGCTCATTGGGAGCTTGGAATTCGTCGACGTCAAGATAGACATCGTGAGAAACGAAGCTTTCCAGGCTGGAGCCAACGCTCTGCTCATTGACCACTCCGAGTGAGTATTAATTATTGTAATTCACCGTCGACACATCTTACTCATATTAAATCATGCGCTCGCTTTCATTTAACGCAGAATCCAAAACATGGAGAAAAACGCCATCGTGATGACGGTGGCGACGGCCACGCTGAGCTACACCAAGTTCTGCGACCTGCGCTACGGCTCGATCGTCTTCCACCAATGGAATCGCATCTACATCGACAACAACAGCTTCTATCGCATCGCCGCGGACTCGATCCACGCCGTGTTCGACGTGGCCAAAGCCTCGAGCCTCGAGTTCTCCTTCTCGGGCAATTACATCGGCGAGGCCGAGCCCAACTCGCTCTCGTTCGTCGGCATTGCGCAGACCGTCAGCGTGGCGCGCGTCGGCAGCAATCGCTTCAATCGCAGCTGCTACTGCAACATCGAGTCCTGGGTGAGGGAGCGGGTGGGCAGCAACGCCTCCGTCACCTGGATCATGGACTCGAGCTACTGCACCGTCGACAAGTTCCTCAGCAACTGCTACGATCTGCCCGACAGCTATCTCGGCATGAGGAATTACACGCAGACCATCTGCACGCCCAGCGACAACATCAAGTGCAACGAGGAGCCCGTCAACACGCACGCGAGCTCGGCCGCGGCGAGTCCGCCCAGCATCGGGCCCCACCAGTATCCCAAGCGCAAGGGCTTCTTCGACGTGGAGATGAGCGACCCGGAGCAGCTCGAGCGCGAGAAGCGCATCATCATCGTCGCCTGCATCGTCGCCGTGTTCTCCCTCGTCCTCATGATCTTTGTCTTCGTCGCGCTGTACATGCGCAGGCGCGGCGTCTGTCCCAAGTTGAGCTCGGGCCCGCTGAATCCCAACACGTGGTTCGAGCCGACCAGCGGAATGACCGCGGCGACCTCCGTGTCTCGTCTGAGCGTCCACGAGTACACCGGTCTGCAGCCAGAGACTCGGATACTCGACATGACCTCGCACGAGGATCCGGAGGTCGACCTCGAGGCCGCCGCCGAATCCAGCCACAGCTATTCTTACCAGGAGAGCAAAGCGACTCAAACCTTGCCGGAGGAATTGACCGAGGAGTATCTCAGGGAGCTCAAGGAGCAGCTCAACGATCCGCAAAACTACGCCCAAGCCAAGGGCATGATCGAGCATCTCTACGACTTGATCAAGGTCGAGGAGAGTTGCAACAACAATAATAACAATAAAACCAACGCGGAGAACGGCGAGTCGTATCACAACAACACGTCGAGGCAGATAAGGAGAGACGCGTCCTTCGCCGGGCGACAGCCATCCGTCACCGTGGGCACCAAAGTCCCATCCCTCGACAAACTGATCACGCCGAGCGTGGCTCGATCGGCCAAGCCGGAACTAGCCGACTATTGCGAGCCTCAAGACCGGCAGATGGCCGATCAGAATCACCTGTACGCCGAATTACCCGGCGACGACACGGTGCCCAGCACCAGCAGACTGTCCGAGCCGATGCTGGCCTCGCTGGCCGGCCGAGCACCCCTGCCACTGCCGCCTGATGTAATCAACGACCTCAGCACCGAGTCCAACGGCGGCCTAGTCTACGGCATCGAGGCGGACGAGAGCCGATCGCTGCACAGCTCGCAGGAAAACAACACGACGAGCACGCCCAAGACCACGGACGGCAGGCGACCCATGAGCTTCTTCAAGGCCCTGGGCGACACTTTCGCGGGACCGAAAAAAGTCAACGGCCGAAGGCCGAACTCGCTGCTGAGCGAGTACGCCGATCCGTCGGACGTGACGTTACACCTGTACTCCGAGCTGCCGGACTCGAGGCAGTTATCCAGCGGCGGCAGACCAGCCGGCACCACGATGAAAATGGTCAATAGGCCGTTACCGACGAAACCCGATCAGTATGAATCCGAGCCGATGACCGTGAGATCGTAGTGGTGGTAGCAGTGGTCGCCTCGCGTTAGACTAATATTATATACGATCGGCGAGAACCCGAATTTATACTCCGACGAGATTTCCCCATATAGTGCCAGTGAAGTTAATATTGTACGTATATGTAACTTTTCGGACAGACTGTTTCCCATGTGATTGTACATTATGTAAAATTTTTGCCGGTATCAAATGCCGCCTATACAGCGTGTGTATATGATTTTATACACGAATAAGAGAATTTTTTAATATTAAGGATTATTAATTGCCTAGTTAAATGAATATTATATGGGCGTGTACGGTGTAAGCTTAAATAATCGACGACTTGTATAATATATATAAATGAACCCACGCCCGTCACTGTGATATCGTATCGTCGATCGATAATTTATACGATTATTCTTTTAATTATTATTATTATTATTATTATTATTATTATAAATGCATGTGGTCGTACACGTACGCTACGAAGTGAATTAGAAATGCATGTTGCGAAAGTGAGAATTTTTTTTGTATTTTATTTGAAAAATGATCGCCGCGCATTGCGCGTAAAGTACCTACTACTATAACTTGTATAAATTGAAGAGAAAAAAATTAATCCAGCTAAAATATAATGAGTCATAAGTGTTCCAGCTTGATAATTCAACGATGTACTTTAGCCTACGATTAATAATTTATTTTGAGCAATTATCAAATCTTACGTAACACGATATTGTATCATAATTGTATATGAATTATTTAACGTTGCGATCGAGCAACAAACTGTTACATTCTAATACATAGAAAGATTATAAGCTTTGCCTGATATATGTAATATATTATTTTATAAAACGATAAATACCATATTATTGTTTCGATGGACGCAATTAAACGTACTATTCAAAACTAACTTACACGTGTATTCGTCAATTTTATACTCATCCTTTCCCAAAGTCTCGCAATTGATACCGTATCTTTTTTTCTCCGAGTTCGCGTTAATCTCGAGTAATTTTTCGGAACGAGTTCAATTACTCTCGAGCTCTTGCTTCGTGCAAAGCTGACAGACAAAAACTCGAACGTGTTCCTTCGCTGCGTTTTCTTTTTCGTCATTTTGTCGCAGACGAAATCTTTAACTGGTTTTAATATGATTTCCTGTCGCAGAGCTCCGCGCGTAAGCAATATGTGCACACAGACGCATTCATAAACTCGCGTCGAGAATATTTATTTCCGGCCCAAGGGCTTTCGGAAATAGGTCTTTGTTTCGCGCGCGCGGAGATTCTCCTGCGCGCGCTCGTTACGATCTTGAATTCATTTGCACACTCTCGTGTACACAATAATTGCACTATTCGTGTCGCGCGCATATATATACGTATAGAGTCGCATTCCAGTTCTACTCAACACGCACATACGTCTAGTTTAATCTTTTGATGGGATTTAAAAGCGTGCATTTTGACACTTGGCCGTCGCTACGTTTTTGTTTACTATAATTAGGTGGGTCGATCATAGAGGCTATTCGATGCGACATGAAACCAAATTTTGCGAACTAGTTCTTTGAGGATAAAAGTATGTACCCTTAAAAATTCAGAACCAGTTCGGAATGAGTTTCTCATAAACGTACTTTATAAGTTAAAAGTCATGAACGTTTACTGTTGTTATTATGACTATCGACCCACCTCAAGTATTCCGCGGCTCTTAAGTAAGTCGAGAAAAGTTTGACCTGCAACAACTCTAACACTGTTTCGCAAACATAACGCATCGAGGGAAAAACGATGAATTAAGACCATAAATTTTCCACAAGGACTAGTAAGCAGCATCGTCAAATTTAATAGAGCTCAATTGTATAAATCCCGACACAACATAATCGCGAACGCGCGGACAATAAATTATTACGTACGATTTATAAAATTATCCGGCAGTTTTACTACTTTACCATGAGGTCGCAGCTTTGAAAGATTTATCAAATACCTAGAATCTTCGTCATATATACTGTATGATGCACGCGCGTATGTACGTCTATTAAAAGCTCCATTGTATCCAACGCGCTGCGTAGATGTATGCGCGATGAGTGCGTCTCGTCTCGTGAGTATCTCATCTCTCTCTCTCTCTTTATCTTGCTATGCTTTTTGCCCTCACCGCGGGCGGGTTCCCCATATATAATACACTTACTTCTTCATCTCTTTCTCTTCGGCGAGAAAGAGAGAAAACAACAAGCAGCTCAGACGAAGGCACGATACGCGTATATATAATTTATATGTACTCGTAACAACTAAACTATGTATATTAGACTGGTTTTTATTACACAAAGTTTCGAATAACTTTATGACAATTTCTCTATCTAAGTTAGTCTGAATTTTTTAAAGAAAAGATTATTATAACACGCAAAAATTACCCAACGGAAAGTTAAAAAAAATTGCTCGTATCAATGTTGATATGAAACGAGATCTCTAAAATCTATTTTTCACGAGCTATAAACGATTCAAATTTAAACAATTTCAAGTAATGAATCTTTGCGATTTTTTATCTCAATAAGTATGAACTCTAGGAAAAATTTAAAAAGAACAAAAAAGTCTTAGAATTTGTCAAGGAAGGCGTATGAATTTTTTCAAATTTTTTCTAGACATATGCCTGAATTTGTAGGTCAAGTTCTGAGGGAACTACCTTAATAACATTATTTTTTTAGTTTCAAAGGCAACTAAAGCTGAACCCATGAATTTTTTACGCATTCAAAAATCTGAAATTTATTTTCTTTAAGATAATTGTTACACCTTAACTTGATTTTGTCATATTCTACATTTATGAACTATATTTGAAATAAAATTTCAAATAATATAACCAAATCATGAAAATTTAATACATTGTAAAACAAATGCATTGTTTTTCGAGTGGTTCATTTGAAGTTTAATGACGCACTTACATTTTGAATAGGATTCTTTACCGCAATAGAAATTCAATAAAAATTTTACCGCAGTTAGCCAAGTTATCAGGGACATTATAATGCTTTATAATATTAGCCCGTATCTCAAGTTTTCATTTATGGCACGTGAATAAAAATACATATTTATGAAATTTTTTGCAATGGATTAATGATTTTCATTTCAGTTCCTTGCGTTCTGACCTTTTCGGTCTGACCGTAAGGTTCAAACCCCTGGAAGGTCAAACACCAAAAAGGTCAAAAATAGTACTTTACGATACTAGTGGCATAAGTAACCCAGCTATTAAGACCCTCGCTGCGCTCGGGCCCTAAACTACGCCGTGCCAAAAAGTGTCCCCATGGCACGAGTATCGTACAACATTTTATAGCACTGTGCTAAGTTCACATTTATGCCCCCTTTTCCGAGCCATGAGTCGCACTTTCTGGTAACGCAAAGTGAGGTTAGCGCACGAGCGTATGCGAGTGTGATGCGAACGCATTGGTGCCAAAATGGGCGACTTATGTCACCGAAAAGCGTGCCATAAATGTGAACTTATGCCACGCAGTGCTATGAAATAAAAAAATACTCAATTATAAAAAAAAATCCTCGATAGATGTAGGGTTCGAAGGCATCTTGAGGCGCTCTCGCTGCAGTTGCTTTCGAATATTCATTCGATCCCGAAGTTGAGCCAGCACAGCATCATCGGCATCTTGCAAGCACCGCATCAACGTTGACGGTGGAGCTTCAGGATGTTTGGCCGCTTGTCGCTTCAGGTTCGATAGTAACCTGAGAGCTTCTACTTCATCTGGATTTGGTGCGTGCACCGGTTCGTGAGATTCTGCATCTCCCCCTTTCTTAACCGTTAACCCATGTCCATTTTGAACGGTGATAATCCGAGCAGAGCACTGTGTCTTCCTCTGGCATCTCCAGTAAGTAGTTGAACCTACAAGAGAATACCTGCCCTATATAGCCACAGAGAGAGAATGAATGTACACTTACCTTTACGAAGATGTGCGGTGTAGATGAATCCTTCGTAGTGGAGGTACGGTGTTTTTCCTTTTTGAATTATCTCGGCCATTTACGAAATTAAAATATACCGCGAATAAATTCAGTACGCAAAAAGAACGATCGCGAACAGCTAGGACAATCGGTACGATACTAACCACGAAGCGCGCGACCGGGTAACGATGTGGATAAACAAATAAAGTTACGTAGCATATATATATATGCTCGCATCGAACTGTACATTTTTATTTTTTTTTATCTTTTTTAGAGCTGACCTTCAGGGTATTTGACTTTTTTTTAATTGTGACCTTTTTGTCTTTGACCTTTTTTTAGTTTTGACTCTACCGTTATTGATCTTTTTACACTTTACTATAACTTTTTACTTTTTATTTTTTACTCTAAAAAAAGTACTCTTGAAACTATCTAGATAATTGAATCATTATTTAATGATTTTTTGAATTTTATCTTGTTTATAGTATTTAAATTTAATTATAACATTCGTTCACCAATTTTTTGTGTCCATTGTGTACTAGTAATAAACTATTGGCTTTGAATGTTATAGTTCAATAATCAATTTTACCCCGAATAAAATTAATCATCCATCATAGCATTAATTATTCTGACTTTACACTTTTTATAATAAACTTTATTCTGTTAATCGTTTTTCTTAGCTACGAATTACCATTATCTTACTTTCTAACTTGACGAATATTGCGAGAATACAGGATGAGTAATTATTAAACTTTAATTGTTTAAGTTAATTATTTGTAAATAAATGTGAATTCCAATAAATTATTATTTTTTCAGCCTTTTTCTCTATCGCTCCCTTTCCTTAAAGACCTTCTCTCCAATCTTAATAAATAACTCTGTCATTTATTAGTTAGAGATTAGTTTTTGGGACCAGCGTAACATATATACTTACTTTTTAAACCCTCAAAAGCGAAAACAGCACGCGAAGCGAGTACAAATTAAGAACCAGTCTAACGTATTATATATTCTATTATGCCCAACAACGGGCAGTGGGACTGCGCGTATGACGTGTGCTACTGGCAGAGCAGCAGCACCCACACGAAGAATGCAAGAGCAGCAATCGAGTGTGTACGCATTGCAAACTGCTGCGTGCGGTTTCGTACGTCTGTATACGCGTACACGATATTTATGTACTCGGCAGTCTTTGTGCGTGTAGCATCTTTAACCACGAGACTGCGGTGCGTCGGAAATTCTTTCGCGCGCCACGCGCAAGCGAGCGACGTCGGAAAAATAAGTTTACAAAAATGAGGTTCTTCGCCCGAGAGCTGAGCGTGCGGCGCCGCGGGCGTGAAGTTATGGAAACGCGAGCTTTTCCACGAACAGGCGCGTATAAGTGAGAGACGCGCACATACACACTCATATACGCAGGCAGAGAGTGAAAGTGGATTTTAAGATGCGATGGTCAAAGTCAACAATAAAGCCGACTCGGCGCTCGAGCTTTTGACTTTTGTGTTGATACAACGGAAATTCGAGAGGGCGTTATCGAGTTTCGGGGAAAATTTTATTTTTGGCATCAGCACGGCTCGATAGTAAATGCATACGCGATGTATTTTTACCCGACATCGCAGTATCGTCACATAATTATAATAAATTCGAGGGTTTTCGAGTGTTCAAAGTTAAATATTATAAACACGTTGGCCACGATTGCAGACGAGAACGAGTCGATAGAGAGAGAGAGAGAGAGAGAAGCAAGAAATTAACTGAGCGTTAATTGCTGCAGATCGGAGCACGGCTGTATCATAAGCTTCGCGTTCACTCGATAAATACACACAGAGAGAACGTATACATCACAGCGCGAGCAAGGCGCAGGCGAAACGAGAGAAATTAGTTTAATATAACGCGTATATCGTGAGCGGCACACACACGAGTATACGTATAACGGAGAGCTTGATTCATCGAGTGTAAATCGGATAGATCACGGCTGCGCGTGGTGGTGGTGTGTATTATACGCTATATGGGTAGG